CGCCAACTTATTCAGCATATGTTTTACGCAGCGGATGCCCTTTCAGCCGCAACCCAGTACTGGGAAACACCCATACACTCTCACATTTACACACACTCATACACTATGGCCAATTTAGTTTATTCAATTCACCTATGGCGCATGTCTCTAAACCCACACCAGCACGAACATGCAAACTCCACACAGAAATGCCAACTGGCCCAGCCTGGACTCAAACCAGGGACTTTCTTGCTGTGAGGTAACAGTGCTAACCACTGAGCCACTGTGCCGCCATTATTAAATTATATTATTATAAATACATTCATTTATTGATTTTCTTTTCGGCTTAGTCCCTTTATTTATCTGGGGTCACCAAAGCGGAATGAACCGCTAACTTATCCCGCATATGTTTTACACAGCGGATGCCCTTCCTGCTGCAACCCATCTCTGGGAAACATCCATACACACTCATACACTACGGACAATTTAGCCTACCCAATTCAACTTTACCGCAGGTCTTTGGACTGTGAGGGAAACCAGATCACCCGGAGGAAACCCACGCGAACGTGGAGAAAACATGCAAACTTCACACAGAAATGCCAACTGACCCAGCCGAGGCTCGAACCAGCAACCTTTTTGCCATGAGGCGACAGCACTACCTACTGTGCCAACTTGTCGCCTGTTATAAATACATATACAACATTAAAAAAAGTCAAGCAAATAAATGACTTATTTTACATTTTAACCCTTCATAGGGTAAGAAACCATATATAACTCCATTGACAACTGACATTGATTATATATAATTCTTATAAAAAACTCTAGTAACACCAGTTTTTTTTTCTGTTGAGTATTTCAATGAGTGCCCTTTAAAAAAGCTTTAAAAAATGTCTTTATATTGCTGATAAAAAAGTCTTTAAACATTTATATATTCACAATTTGAAACAATATACTAATATATACACACAGTGCTTGGCATAATTGAGTACAGCCCATTTTGAAAATGAATATTCCAGTTATTAAAGGCATTTTGTGGCATTTAAACAAAACATTTATTAAACAGACAAATTTATTTTAAAAATATTTTAGTCACAAAACATATTTAGTAGTTGAGATATAATACAACAAATATTCAAGCAAAATATTGCAAAAAAAAACAAAAATAAAAAATAGCCTACAAAATTTCAACTATTTTTTTTTCTTATCTTGATTTTTCCTCCTTTTTTAAATTTGTATTTAATATTTTTCTATAACATAAATTTGGGTCTGATAGATAACTCTTATTCTATAACATAAACATAAGTCTTATAGATGTGTACAAATGAACTGTTAGCCACTTTTCTGCCAATACACACAATAGTTACATTTCCTCACTAGTTCAGGTTGATCAGATTGATTACACATCAACATTATCTTCCTCCCAAAGTAGTACTGCACTAACAAAAATCAGATAAATCCCTGTTTTCAATAAAAGCGCCAGTTATGCAACAGCAACACATGGTGCAGCAGGTACATCAGTGCAAAATCTGCTTTTAATAAATGGCTTTGTTTGCTTTGCTCATTTAAATGCAGATCTCAGGCAGTAAGAGGGCATCTAAACAGACCACGAAGACCCCTGGACAGGTGGCGAATCCCCCCCACCCCCCTTCCCCCCCCCCAATCCCTCACATAATACACAGCCGGCAGCTCCCATAATAGCACCTTTTTTGCTGTCCTTTGAAATCTGTCAGCACAAATTAAAAAGCTCCTGCTGCGTCCGCACATATGCTGTGATATTTAGCCAGTCGATTATACATCTGATGGATTAACTCTTTATTTTACATTGTCCCTGTTAAAGTAATTACAATAACAAATCTGAATTGCTTAGTTTTTTGCCAAATATCAAGTAATATTAAGTAAAGATCATGTTCAATGAATACATTTTGTAAATTTCCTACAGTGAACATATCAAACTTAAATATTGATTAGTACTATGCATAGCTAAGAACTTAATTTTGACAACTTTAAAGGTGATTTTCTCAATATGTTGTTTTTTTTAACCCTCTACGATTACAGATATTCAAATAGTTGCATTTCAGCTAAATATTGTCCAATCCTAACCAACCATACGTCATCTGAAAGCTTATTTAATTAGCTGATGTATAAATCTCAATTTTAAAAATTTGACAATTAACATGCAAAACTGAACATCCAAACTGCATTTGAGAGCCAAATAGTGAGTAAATACAATTAAAAATACAAGTAAAAATCTGAAATGACTTATAATTCATAACATATCATCTTTCTAGAGCCATCATTTGTTCATTCATGCCCAAGAACAACAGCACTTCTTCAGTCAGATGATGTATAAATCTAAATTTAAAAAAAATTGACACTTGAGACTTAAGGTTTTGTGTTCCAGGGTCACATATGTGATTATTAACATGCAGTGTGCAAAGAGCCAAATAGAATAGATGTAGAATCCCAAATTTAAGCAAACAATTTAAATGACTTCTAAACTATGGAGCCAGGTCAGTCTAAAAAAATAATACATTTACAAATTTATACATCCACAACACAATTCATATTAAAAAACATGATTCGTACCTACACAAAAACAATTTGTTAATTCAAAACATGATTAATAAATACACAAATCCAAGTAGAAAGTTTAAAATGAGACTCAAAAATACACAAATCTAATTTGTGAATTCAAAACACGATTCAAAAATACATAAATCCAATCTATAAATTCAAAACACATGTAAAAAATACACAAATCCAATTCGTAAATTCAAAACATAATTTGAAAATACACTAATTCTATTTGTGAATTCAAAACAGGATTTAAATATACATAAATCCAATCCAAAAATTAAAAACATGATTTAAATATACACAAATTCAATCCATAAATTCGAAACACGACTCAAAAATACACAAATCCTATTCGTAATTTAAAAACGCGACTAAAAAAAAACAAAAAAATCCAATTTGCAAATTCAAAACACTATTTGAAAATACACAAAAACCAAAATGTGTATTCAAAACACAATTTAAATATACACAAATCCAATCCAAAAATTAAAAACATGATTTAAATATACACAAATCCAATCATAAATTCAAAACAAGATTAAAAAATACACAAATTCAATCCATAAATTTAAAACACGACTCAAAAATACACGAATCCAATTCGTAATTTAAAAACGCGACTCAAAAAAACCCCCAAAAAATCCAATTTGTAAATTCACAACACTATTTAAAAATAAACAAATCCAATTCATTTGCATTCGTATATTTACTTGTGAATTTACAAATTGTGTGTTGTATCTCTGAATTGTGTTTTGAAATTATATATTGGAATGTGTGTTGTGCTCTGCATGTATATATTTTATTTTGTAAATATATTATTTTTGAGACTGAACTGGCTGCATACTATACTTGCATTTCATAACTTATCATTTATCTAGAGCCACTTTTTGTGCATTCATGCCCAAGTCTAACAACACCGGCACAAACCTCTCATGCTCCTATAATGACAAGAACCTACAGAAATACCCATGAATGTGCAATGCTCTTGGGAGTGTTGGAATAAAGTGAGGGTCAGATGGAGAAACAGAAGCACGGATCCAGGTCAGACGAGTGTGTGTTTGTTTCAATGAAGCATCTTCTATGTAGGCCATAGTGAATGCCACCAGACTGACGGTGCAGATGGCAGCACCAGCTCAGCACCTCTGGCAATCGCATCCTTGAAAACACCCACGGCTAAACCAATTCAGAAAAGCCAGCTTTAAAATGTCAACACGCCTGAGTGTCACTCACTTACGTGACAGTACACAATACACAGCATGTCACTTGTGACACATTTGAAGTGGTCTAACCTTTTAAGGGCACTTGTTTATGTATGGACGGTTCCCAGCAAGCATGTTTTGTTTTTAAAAGATATCTAATAGACATCTAAACATAGTCGTCTTAGCTAAAACAAGCCTAAATTTGGACTGTCAGTGAAAATCTAATAGACATCTAAGAATAGGTCAAAACTAGACTAGTCGTCAAATAAACAGAAATGAATGACACATATAAAGTCTGTCTAATTGACGACTAGTCTAGTTTTGGGCTATTCATTCATTCTCTTTTCGGCTTAGTCCTTTCATTAATCAGGGGTCACCACAGCGGAATGAACCGCCAACTTATCCAGCATACGTTTTACACAGTGGATGCCCTTCCAGCTGCAGCTCATCACTGGAAAATACCCGTACACTTCTATTCACACACATACACTACAGACAATTTAGGTTACCCAATCCAGTTTTGGGCTATTCTTAGATGACAATTAGATTTTTATTGACAGCCCAAGTTTAGCGTTGTTTTAGCCAAGCTGTCTACACTTAGATGTCTATTAGACGTCTAATAAACACAAAATTGATTTCTGTGTTTCATGCAATGCATAAATGCCTACTAGACAACATTAATAACCATGCACTTAACAATAACATCATGCAAAAGTTGTTGTAGAGCTGCAAGCAATGTTAACAATACTGTAATATTGGTTTATTTTCAGTTTAAACACTTTCTTATGCTGCTTTATTATGTAATACTGTATATATTTGCACATTACAATAAAATAGATTGGACTTATTTTGGATAAGCTTTGTTAAATGAATATAAAAGATCTTGGATAGACAGAAGCTGGATTAATGGTGAATGACACATTCATTGACATGTCTTGAAGTGTCAACATTTGCTCTTAGTACGGTATTAGAGTCCATACTACGTGCATATTAATTAATTCATTAACATAATTATTCACATTTCGATTATGCTGTGATGCAGTAGAGTACATAAATAGATCCCATAACTTATATCATAGGAACTGAGACTATATCCAAACTCAAACCATAAGTTTACAGAAATCATAGGTACATTTTTCATCAGCTGTCATAGTCTGCATGATAGTAAATAACCCACATTACATTTCCAAAACGCGAACTTCTTTTTAAAGATGTCACTAAACGTATTTAACGTGTAGTTATTACCTTTGAATGGAAAAAGACGCGCAGGTTGATGTCTCCTCTTCTTCAAAACCGCGACTTTACGCAAAACAAAAGGTGATCATTCTTCACAACACAAAGTTTCCAGGTATCTTCCACGCACACCGAGAGCAGCAGCGCTCCGTAAATACTGCACGGTCGCGCATCGGGCCTCACAATACAAGCTCCCAGTTTGATTGACAACAAGGCCAGCCAATCGTTAGGACGAAACGGCCTAGCAACAATACGCCGATTGGCCAACCTAAAAAGTGGACGGACCAATGAGCGAGCGCAAGGAATATGCAGGCGAAAAACCAAAACATTCGTTATCTTTGTAATGTGTCTGTAGTTAGCGAGTAGTAAACACTAAAGCACAAGTATGTAACAGGTAAATCATAATAGTTTATCAAATATTAAGATTTTAGACACTATTTTTACACGTGACAATAACAAAGATGCACCAGCCTCATCATAATAATTAAATAGCGCCTCTCTGCGTCGTGAATTTGCTTGATATTTTGTGTAAACTTGATAATTTATTACGTTTCTAAAGCAAATGATAAAGCAATGTATGTTCCTCATTTTACTGTACTCTTATATTAGCATTTTATTAGATGAATGAATTCAGGCAAAGATTATTTTGGTTGTTTTTATATATAAGACTATAGACATTGCTTTAGTGAACGGAGTTGTTAATATGTAACTTGTTAACTTAGTTGTGGAGATGTCTGTTTCCCCTCGCACTTCAGAGACCGACGGATTCCTGCTTGAAGAGGTATTACAAAATCCTTCCTGATGATTGAAAAGTCTCTAATGGATGCAGAAAATAATATGCAAGCACACGCCATTGGTCTAAATCAGGGGTTCTTAAACTTTTCAGCCTGCGACCCCCAAAATGACAAAGTGATTCGCGACCCCCAATATCCTCTGAGGTGGTTATAAATACAGAAACCTTGCATGCAATGGCGCACACACGCCAATACACCCGGGTATATTCTTCGTTGAATTTTTAAACGTATGTCAGTGCTATAAATGGGCCAGAAAGTTTAACCTGGTGTTATAAAATCAATCTGCTTCATCTGACACTATTGCTGTGTCTTTTATATAATGTAATTACCACTGGGGTCGCAATCCAATAGAGCTAGTTACTATAAGCTACTATAGTAATTTTGTAGTATATAGTAACTATAAACGACTATTTTATTTCCTCTTCAGTAGGTTATGGATAAAATATGATAATGCTTATATAGTTCAATAAAAATGTAAATATTTTTGGAAATCACCAGGTGACCCCTCTTCATTGTCCCGTAACCCCTCAAGGGGTCCCGACCCCCACTTTGAGAACCACTGGTCTAAAAAATGGCGTTTTCTCAAAAGATCCTTAAAAACAGCACATTAAACACAGAAAGGTTAAAGATTCTAAAGACAATAATGCCAAAAAGGATAAAAATAATCATCCACATGCATTATAACACACCATGTACAAGCATTTTCATAATTACCTCTTTGCCATATCTTGCATTAAGAGTTTATTTATATTCTTGACATGCTTTTAAGAATATTCTCCTTTATATAAGAGTTTTTGTGGGAATTTAATATAAAAAAACTAAAGCTAAGCGACAACGTCTTTACTCATAAGCCCAGGGTTTGTCATTTTTTTGAATAGAAAATGTGAATCAATGCACAATTCAATATACCAAAAAAAGAGAATATGTGACGATGTTCGCTATTTGTTTAGTTTTTTTTCCTCACTGCAGGGATTTATTGACAGTAAACTTTCTGTAATTGAATTGCCTGTATTTACAACCACTATTGTTTGAATGTCGTGTTAAAAAAAAAGGACTTGAACTGAAAAGGCGATGAAGCATGGTGTCAACAGATTGATTCCTAATATAAAGCAAAAAAAAGTAATCCTCTGAATGTCACATCAGTGTTTTAAAGTGCATGGTTTGTGTTTTTTTGTTATTGTGGGGTAGAACTAGTCGTGTTGGCACGCAGAATGCCTCTCAACACCCTGAAGTTAGCCAGTGGCTGGTTCTCCTTTGGAGGATAGCAGGGACCACGATCTGTCACGTAGGCATAAGGGAAGCGAAGCACCCAGAGTCCATCAGAGGGCAGCACCACTTCAGGTTGCTCTGGATGGAAGATGGGACAGGGAGGGAGACCTGGCTGGACCTATAAGAGAAGACACACACAGAACAGTAAGTTTAATGAAGAAAATGTTACTCAAATTGGTGGAAATTATTGTACATGTTGTTACTTCAGATTTATAGGGATAGATCAGACAAAAATTTAATTCTGCAATCATTTACTAACCTTTGACTTCTTTTCTTTTTTTCTGTTGTACACAAATTATGAGACTTTAAAGAATGTTTAAAAAACCTGTAACCCCTGACATGCATAGTAAGAAAAACAAATAATATGGAGGTTAATGTCTACAGGTTTCCATCATTCTTCAAAATATCTACTTTTATCTACTTTTATGTTCAACAGAACAAAAAAAAAATCAAACGGGTTTGCAACAAGTCAAAAGTGATTAAATGACGCAGAATTTTCATTTTGGGGTGAACTATGCCTTTAAAGTGTTTAGACTTGGTAGGTTTGATTTGATTAAAATAAATTAATTTAGCCTAGTTCATTTGAATAATAGTTCAAATCTGCCATCTGAACAGCTCCAAACAAAAAGACAGAAACAGCTGAAAGATGGATAAACTTTCCCACATCAGCTCAATACAGGCAGTCGGAACAGTGTCTACTTGAACCAGATCTTTGTTTATGTGTGCAACAGAGAAATTCCTTGCACATTTTGTAAGATTTTCAGAAGTTCTTAAAGGGATAGTTCACACAAAACTCATCGTTTACTCAGCTTTGTTTCAAGCTTGTTTAAGTTTCTTTTTTTTTGTTGAACACAAAAGTAGTTTTGAAAAATGTTGAAAAATTCTTCAAAATATATTTTGTGTTTAAAAAAAAAAAACATTTATAAAGGTTTAACTACTTGAGGATGATTAAATAGTAAATATTCGTTTTAATGGTGAACTATCCCTTTAAGGCAGGGATGCCCAAACTTCTTCTCATGAAGGGCCAAAAACCAAACTTGATTGAGGCTAGTGGGCCGAAGTTAAATATAGATGGGGTGATTCATCAGGGGCAATGTCCTCATTTATTTAATAATGTTTAAAAATGATTAGAAAAAAATTGCTTTATGTGAACTAATACCGTATTTTTTACATTGTATAATGCACTTATTACAGTAAAAACAAAACAATCTAATTTATAACAGAATTACGCTAGTTTTTGCCTTGCTCACCATTGTCTTCTGCGTAGTGCTCTATCCATCAAGTGAGTTATTGACATTTAATTTAAACATTTAATTTTAGTGTGCTTTTTTGTAGGTCAGCAATTAAATAAACGAAAAAGGTTATGTCAAATTAGAAATGACGGTCTCTGTCTATCTATCACACTCTCCTCTCAAATGGGATGATGGACCAAATCAAAGGTTACAATGGGCCAACTTTGGGTATCTCTGCTTTAAGGAAGAGTTTTTTTTAAAGTTTTTTTCTGTTCAGATGCAAAATAATTGCATTAAAAATAGCAACAATAATAGTTAATATTTATAATAACAACAGTTAATATTTATAATAATAACAGTTAATATTTATAATAATAACAGTTATTATTTATAATAACAACAGTTAACAGTTATAATAATAATAATAATAATAGTTAATATTTATAACATTAATAGTTAATATAATAACTGTTAATATTTATAATAATAACAGTTAATATGTATAATAATAAGTTAATAATTATAATAATAATAGTTGATATTTAAAATAATAACATTTAATAGTTATAATAATAATAATAGTTACTAGTTATATTAATAATAATAATAATAATAGTTAATAATTATAATTATAACAACAGTTAATATTTATAACAATAATAACTGTTAATAGTTAATAAAAAGTTAATATGTATAATAATAATAGTTAATATTATAATAATACTTAATATTTATAATAATAAGAGTTAATAGTTATAATAATAGTTAATAATTATAATAATAATAGTTCATATTTCTAATAATAATATTATTAATAATAAAACTAAATATTTATAATAATAGTTATTATTTATAATAATAATAATAATTAGTTAATAGTTATAATAATAATAATAATAATAGTTAAACAAAAAGTATCAAGTGAACCAAACTTCAACTGTGAACACGACCTTAGAGAGATAGTTCAGCCAAATGAAAATTTACTCAATTACTCTTCCTCAAGTGGTTATCAACCTATTTGAATTACTTTTTCAGTTAATCAATTCTATCTTCAAAAGATGATATTTTGAAGAATGTTAAAAACCTGTAACCATTGAGCTCCATTTATTTGTTTATCCTACTAAGAAAGTCAGTGGTTACAGGTTTTCAGCATTATTCTAAATATCTTCTTCTGTGTTCAACAGAAGAAAAACAACTCAAAGGTTTTACACAAGGGAGAGTAAATAATGACAGAAATTTCATTTTTATCCATTTAAAGAACATACTAATAAACATTTCATACCTGTGGGTTTAAGACAATCTCAAGAGGAGCATCAGGGACAACAACAAAAAGTCGAGCCAGCTGAGCGTAATGTGGCTTGATGCCTCGTCCCTGAGCAGGAGAGGGAATATACAGAGGCATATCCGAATTCAAGCATCTGGTTGCAGGCTCCTTTGGTCCACCTTGTCCAAGCACTTTAACCACTTTATCAGGGCCAGAACTGAGGAAGCGGCGCCCTCTGCTGTCCTCATACTCAAAACCAACAAAAGCACGAGCTACATCATCCCGTCTGCGCCCTCGACCGATTCCTCCAGCGCTGCCTCGCTTTCCAGCTGATGCTTTATTTGGTGCCGGCCAGGACGCCGGGCCTCCGTCCAGAGGTTCAAGGGATCCCACGTCTTCCTCAGATCGGCTTCGAATCACTACATCCCACGGCAAGAGGAAAGCAGAGCCTGGGAGGAATCCAGGTTGCTCTAAACCAGTGAGGCTGTTGTAGGATTTGGCCGGACCAAGCTTTACAAGAGACCAGCTAGAGAATTTGGGTAACAATCCTTTCGGGCATCCAGAATGCAGCATCCCGGGAAGATACTCCACAGTGGAGGGCTGTCGGTCCACCAAGCTTGGTCTCTTCTCCTGTCCTTCTGCTCCGTCAGCGTATGTTCCAAGGCTGTCCGTTGACTGGCCCAAGCTGAGAGCGAGACTTAGACTCGTGCTTTCCCCAGGGGTGTGAGTGCTGGTCTCTTTCTCCTTCAGGCGATCAGCTTCCCCTGACGGAGGAACCTCTCCTGGTCTGGGCACCTCGTCGCTGGCAGGAGCCGGGTCAGGCGTGCTAGCTTGAAACACTGGGAAGTTTATCCTTTCCAGTTTAGCACAGCATTTCTCCTCAAGCATCTGCGAACAGATAACAGAATGATGAGGAATACATTTAAGAATTTTAGTCATTTATTTAGCACGTGTGTTCATCCAAA